CGACCAGTAGTTGCAGTATCTTATCGACCAACACCTGTCCCGTCACTTGTTTGCCATTAATCTTAAAGCCTTGAATGTGTGGCAAATGTGTATCGATTGAAGCAAAGAGTGTTTCATTTAATATAATATCTTCGAAACATAACGACAATTGTGTTAATCGTTTCAATGGAGACAATGATTTCGGTGTCAATTCAATAAAGACTTCATTGTCTACCGGAAGTGTCATCAATAATAACTCCAGTCTTCGTAAGTTTTTCATACGACACACCGATTCATATACTTGTTTAAAGTGTGGATCAGTTTCACATCTCAGACATAAACTATATCTCTTGAGTTGTGGCCATTGATTGACAAATTCTTTGCAGTGATAATCAACGATAGACTGATTAATGTCAGGATTACTGCTAAATGGTATTATAATATTTAATTCTAGTAATGCTTTCATTTGTGTCAATAGTTTCATAACACGAATATATTCTTCTGCAGACTTATTATAATTATTGAAATAAATTGAAAAAGACTTTAAACTATTCTTATAATAATCAACAAACGCTTGCAATCGTTGCCAATTAAAGTCAAAGTAAGAAAATCTAAATTCTGTCAAATTCTTGACTAATATCTCACTATTTTTGGTGACAATCGCTGACAATATATTGTCTAACATAGCGCCCGATAATTGTCTCAGTTTTATATAAGAGTTTGAATGAGAGATAAAGACCTCATAACCCGTCGGTGGCACTGATATAGCAGTCAATTGTGAGCCATATCTGCCGAGAATTCTGTTCATTATATTGACGTCAGTTTTGCGCAAAAATCTCATATTAATTGTCTTCAAGTGTTTGTATGCATTCACGAGTATTTCAAACACTCTTTCAGTCGCTTCTGAATTAATGTTAATAACAATGGATGTAATGTTTGCACACTTTTTGATCATTGAGTCAATTGCCGCCCAATTGGTGTCTTCAATAGTATTACTCCGTATTGTCTGCCATTTGACTAAGAATTCCGGAATATTCAGATAGTTTTGACGTTTAAATACCAATCGCTGCCACTGTTTGGACAGACATTCAAATCGGAAACAGTCTTCAACTGAGAGATAAGACAATATACAATACATTTCCATAATAATTAATTTTGTGTTTAAAAATTAAATTCTCATAATATTATCATACTGTATCTTTTAAACTAATTCTGTGTTTTGTTTTACTTTCAAACTTTTAATAAATAAAAATATTAATGAATATTAATGAATAAATTCTGGTTATTATAATTAAGTATGTAACATTCAGTTTAATAATCATTTTAATTACAAATGTAATGATAGTGTGTATTTTAATTTGCTGATTAATTTAAAGTTTCATAATATAATATAGTTTTATATTTATATTGTAATATTTAATCTATTTTTGTCGCTATTATTTGAAATATTTGTTCAAAGTTTAGTTAAATTCACTTTATAAATACAGTAGTGTAAACCTTTTTTGTTGTAAATGTTGTGCCCTTTTATGAGTGAATACATGTATTAGTGATACAAAGTTTGCATCAAAATCATGGAATATTGCGATTTAATTCTGTTTTCAATATTCTGTGTTCACTAATAATAACGTCAATACAAATGATATCCCCTCTAGTGATGAATACATGTATTAGTAATACAAACCCTCATAAAAATAATACTACTGTAATATGATTTATAAATTTAATACTCACACGTATTATCACATCATTTATACACAAATAATCACAAATTCTGTGTCAACAGGTTTGCCAAACAATGTGTCAAATTAGGTTTTAATTCAAATTTTAATTAATTAATTTTAAAGTGTTATCTTTTATATTATATATTTGTTTTACACAATTAAATATTAATTTATATAATTTATTAATTATAACATATTTGTGTAGATATGGGCTCAAGAATTGGTGGCTATATGTCTACAAAAAGGGTGTGGTTTACTCATTTAATCACAACTAAATACAAATTTAATTAATTAATTATATTATCTTTATTTCAGGCAATAATGTCATCCAATGTTAAGAATGGTACTCAAGAGGAATATCCGAAGGACTCGTTCGACAGATTCGGTGATGACTTGTGTGGACTCGTGTTGTCTTATCTGTCACTGAAAGACAGCTTCAGATATGAATGTCTGNCTGAAAGACAGCTTCAGATATGAATGTCTGTCCAAACAGTGGATGAGAACTGTATTCATACGAAGGAATACCTTCTCTGTGTATGAGTTATGGCAGAAAACCAAGTGGTCGTTAAAAGATTACGAGAATAAGAATAAGATTATGAGGATTAATGTAAAAGGATTTGAATCAGTGGTCAAAAAGTGTACAAACATTACATCCATTCATATTATGATATATAATGAAGAAGATGAAAGATTGTTTGAAATACTAATGAATTCATACAAACACTCATTGAATGAAATTCACATCAGATTTGACTACGAAATTGAAAGGCAAATAATGGACAGAATTTTAGCAAAATATGGCTCACTATTCACCAAAATCGCTGTACCTATATATGGTTGTCAAATATTTAAATCTCATACAAAGTTATATACAAAACTCAGACAATTATCCGGTTCTTCTGTGATATCTTCCGGTATGTTATCAGTGATTGTCACCGAAAACAATGAGATATTATTCGAGAATTTAATACAATTTAAGTTCAATTACTGGTACTGTGATTGGCAGCGATTTCAAGCATTTGTTGATTGTTATAAGAATAGCTTAAAGTCTATTTCAATTCACTTTAATTCGTTGTCTCCTGAAAAATACATTCGCGCAACAAAACTGTTGTCTCAAATGAAAGCATTACGAGAGCTTAAGATTCAAATAACACTTTTATATAATCCAGATGCAATTCAGCCTATCGTTGACTATCATTGCAAAGAGTTTGTCAAACAATGGCCACAACTCAAGAGATATCTACTGAGAGTCCAGTGTGACACTGATCTACAAGTGAGACAATTGTATGGATCGATTAATAGCATGAAAAACTTACAAAGACTGGACTTAAGACTAATTACAAAGAAAAATCCAAAGAAAGGAGCATTGAATTGACACCGAAATCATTGTATCCATTGAAACGATTAACACATTTGTCGTTATATTTACATAATTGTGCACTAAATGAGACATTCTTTGACTCAATTCACACACATTTACCACACATTCAGAGACTTCATATCTCCAGCGGTTTAAAGAAAACCCCGGCTATTGAGGAATCCATCAAAAAGTTACCAAAACTTAAAGATTTATTTTACTATCAAAATATATGAACATAACAGTGATTTTGATAGTGATTCTGGTGGCGATTCCAGCGACTAAACCTCATTAACAATTATGACATTTTGTAAAACATTTTTATAATTCAAATTTATTGTGTAAGCAAGCTTGTTTTACTAATAAATTATGTAATTTATAACTATTTATAACAAAAGATATCGCAGTAGTATCCGTTTTATGTCAAGCATTTCAATAACTCATCAAATATTTGCCAAACTTTTAGTAAAAATCTTTACTGTTTTAATATTTTAGTGTCTATAGTACAAAATTAAATGAATAATGTTGATCATACAAATTTTGTTTGAAATAAGCAATTATTATAATGTTTAATAAAAAAACGCGATTATAGTGCAATGATTTATAAATTGCTTACATGTTTATTAATTGCTAACATAAAAAATTTTAAATTGCTTACATAAAAAATTAAATGCAAAGTCTGATCAATGATAAAATGTTTTAATTGTAACTTCCTGTATTTATGTCTATGTTGCATATCAATGCAACTACTAATGGTCTATAAACTTTGATAAACTTATTAATGAGTCAATAAAAAATATAACTAAGAATTTCTAATTTATTTATTAGAATAAATCAATAAATATTTATCATGAAAATATTTTCTATTTAAATATGGGTGTATAAAATGTTTGGGAATAATAATTATACTGTATGTGTACTTTAAAAATATCTATTCATGAACTCTTAAACATATACATATAAATTGGTGATTATTAAACATTATATAAGTTTGTGTTGATTATACAGTATATTTGTTATACAAACCGTATTGTATTAACTGAAAACATGGACTCAAGAAGTTGTACACCAAATGTTTGTGGAAATAATCATGTGCTCACTTAATATACCCTGTCATAAAACTGTCCCCAATCTACAGTATATACAACTGTCCACTCATTTTGTAATAAATTATATTATTATTTCACTTTTCAGATAAAAATGTCATCGAATGACACGAAATGGACTGACGAGGGA